TTTGTAATGAGATTAAGGCTGAAGCTTTAGTTATCAAGGATACAGATTTTGATACAGTTGCCACTTCTCGAAATCTTACTCTTAAGGAATCTGAATTTCTTAAACTCGATTTAGAATGTTCAGTTGCAGATACTATGGCACTTAAGTGTTTTTATATGTGGAACTTTTATAGTGGAAATGGTATGAGCATCGAGGATTGGAATAAACTCTGCGATAAAGATTTTGTAGAATATTTTAGTCCACTCGAATCTAGAAAACATTTCTTGTGTCTATCTTATTTTTACAAGCAAGGTTATAATGAAGAGAGTGTAATAGAAAAATTAAAGGCTAAAGACATCATACAATGAGAAGATACCTGTTATAATGCTAAAGATAATTTTGAGAATTCAGTAGCAAAAGATTTACGCAAAACATATTTAGCAAATCATTGGGAAGCTATATGAGGTCTTTTACAGTCGCTTGGTTTTACGGGTATAGATGATAAACGCATTCTTTCTGATGATCAGATAAAAGTTGCATTTAAGGCATCTCATGAAAAATTTATAGAAATTCGAAGTCAAGCCTTATTGCTCTTTAGCTTTAGGTCTCGTGTAAAAAAAATACTAGATCTTAAATCAGCTATAAAAGCAATTAATGCAATTGTTGGTAATTGGTGTGATTATACCATAAAAAGTGAGCAAAAATTAGTAGGATCTAAAGGACAACAGATTTGAAAATATTCATATCAAATTAATCAAAAGTCATATAATAGTCGTAGTTTTAATAATCAAGAAGAAGTAATAGCTAGAAAGTTAAATAATCCTGAATATTGCCCTATAGCTTCAGTTCTTCCATCATATAAGCCGAAGGTAAGTAATGAGATTCAGAATCTTTTTGAATATGTTGAGCATAAAATTTCTGACTCGTCTAGTGGAATGATTGATAAAAAAGGTTTATCTTTAGAAATGCCAGCTCATAATCAATCTTCTGGTCTTTCCCAAGATAGATACCATATTGATACTACTATTAGTGAAGCCAGGATAGTTGAGAAAAAAATACCCGAATCTTTAACTCCTCTATCTTCAGAATTTCTTATTAAAAATGAATCAGATATAGATACCCTTATCCTTCTTTTATAGCAAAAATTCCAAATGCCTGAAAAAGGATTAGAACAATAGCGAACTAAGATTACTTTTGAATTGCAGGATAATCAAAATTACTAGAAAAAAGAGCGTGAGAGTATGAGTGAGGCTGACTTCTTAAAATATAAGCGAAATTTTAAGACTAAGATGGGTGTACCTACTACTCTATACAAAAAAGAATTGAAAAATAAATCTTTGGCACTCATTGAATATGCGTAACTATTGTTTTAAGATAATATCATCTAGTTTTAGTAGTAATTTCTGAAGCAAAGAGATTGCTACATTTAACTAGTTATTCATCTCAGGTAGAGGGTTTTTTGTCCTCTCTTATAATAAGTATGAGAAAAAATTTAAATAAAAAATTAATGCTTTCAATATCTAGATCATATAAAGGGTTTTTGTGTCATGCGATTTTGGATGATAGGATTTAGATGACTAGACACTTATCAAAGTGGGTTTTTGGATCACGAAGAGTAGTCATTACCTAAAGCTAGTGTCAGCTGGAAGCTAGTTCACACCAAGACGCATAGTACTATTAAACAAATATCGAAAAAGTGATACGCAAAGGTAAGAAAAATTGAACTTTTATGTATCAAAAAAGATGATATATAAAGGTAAGAAAAAAATTAAGCTTTTACGTACTATTAGGTAGATATCAAAAAAGTAATACACAAAGGTTAGCAAAAAAGTGATACACAAAGGTTAGCAAAAAGTGATATGCAAAAGTTAGCGAAAAAGTGATATGCAAAAGAATACATAGAAGTATGACTTGATTTTTTTTAGTATCTTATACTAATTTCACTAATGTAAAGTGGCAATATCCAAAGACTATCAACTATGCGAGAAGAGCTTCCAAAACTAAAAAATATAGTAAACTTTTGGTGATATGCAAAAGCAGAATATTATAAGGAAAGAGATGAGAAAAAATTGTACTTTTACGTATCACTAAAAAAGAAGGATCAGATAGTAGAATTCAGATATAAAAAAAGTGATATGCAAAGGCAGAATATTATAAGGAAAGAGATAAGATAAATTTTTGCTTTTACATATCATTAAGTAAGGGTAACAATTCAGCACTATGTGCCTTATTATCGAATGCTTTGGTATCCGCCAAAAGTAAAATTATTACTGATATGACGTAAACTCAAATTCGTTGTAACTCAAATGACAAAGCAAGTATAAATCATTCGTTACTCGAATGATGGAGCGAATACTAATATATCTCTGATAACACAAGTGCGAATCATTCGTCACTTGAATAACGATGCAAGCATGAACTATTCATCACTCAAATGATGGAGCGAATACTAATATATCTCTGATGATGCAAGCGCAAATCATTCGTCAATCGAATAACAATGTGAACTCAAATTCGTTGTCACTCAAATGATGGAGTGAATACTAATATATCTCTAATGATGCAAGTGCGAATCATTCATCACTCGAATGGCTAACTAGTTAACATTATAATGCAACTAGATAACAGTCTTATAAGACTATTATCCAGTATTTCTTATAGTCAAATAACTAATTCACTGATTTCTCTAGTGATAATATAATTATGTATAATATAAGGAGCAAATTTAGAGCTATCAGATCTCTTATAGTTAAAATATAACATAATACAAAGATATAGATAACACTCAAAAGTAGATAAAAAAGATTTGGTCTAAGAACCAAGAATTTTATTACTACTAAGATTCTGGTTTTAAGATGTATCTTTATTAAATTATAATTTATCTACTTGGCTGTAGAAATTACAGGACTTTTATACAAGAAAATACAGTAGAAGATTTAGTATTTAACTAAATTGAGTATTAGAATAGGAGGAATCTATCCCTTAATTTGTAACACAGGCAAATTTGCCTGCGTCTACTTTTAATTTTTATAATTTTTAAAATAAAACTTTAA